GGGGGGGACTTGGCCTTCCACACACTAGAGAAAGGAAGAAAGGTCACAACACTCCCCTTGTTGCGTAAAAAGGATTGAAAGGACTTGCAGGTGAAAAAACCCGACACCTCAAGATCCCACCTTCTCCTATCCCTTTTAGAAGCACACAATCTGAAACCTTCCAGAACTTCCAGCAATTTAATCACCTCGGCAGTCTCCCTATCATTCAGATTTCTCCTAAACCCAAAGTCCCAATTATGAGGAAAAACGTGAGAATCAACAAAACGGTCAATGCTTAAGGATTGCTTTGACCGTTTTGTTGATTCTCAGAAATTTTTAATAATCTTACTTTTTCACATGATTTCAGGCATAAATTTTTTGTTTAGAATGTTCTTTCTCTATTGATGGTTAAACATGATAGTCCTAAATTAGTAGAAGAGAACAGAATGATGTGTATTTACTCCTTTGACAAGTTTGATGAAGGATGTGATACTTTTTGAGCAAAATCTCCTGAGAACATATAACAATGGATTAGGATATTAGCTGAATCAGTTCTATTTTAAATTTTTGTACAAGGACAGATGCATATATGTTTTGAATATACTACCATCATTAGTCACAATGATCAACCCAGTTGTAGCAACATCAAGACGGCCAACAGTAAATAGTCGTGGTCTGGGTATTCCGGAATTTCTCTTATCCTGAAAATGCAAAATACAAGTTGATCAATTGACGAATTGAATGCACGAATATGCTACCAGGATACATTTCTAACTGCTAAAATAATCCTTTAATCCATACTTGCCCACATAGGCAGTAGGCACCGAATTGAAGAAGTGTTAGACGAAAATGCAAAATGCATGGTAAGCCATAACATACCCAAGTCTTCAAATAATCTTCAAATAGACTCAACACAGATTTATTCTCCCCAGATGCGCAAATGTACCTATCATCATAATATAAATGCATTAATTTCAAATTGAAAAGTTGCAACAAAGAATAACCATAGCGGCCAAAACAAGAGCAGCAACAAGCCAGTAGCAGTGGCATACCCTTTAGGCTTGTTAAGGGCAAGATAAACCTTTGGAGGCAGTCTCTTTGGAAGCCGATTTCCATTGACATATATGATATCCCTTCCAGGATCAACTCGAGTCTACACATAAACAAAAGAAATACTAGTATAGTACAACTGTAACACTAAAGTACAACTGTGAATCCGTGATGCTAAAAAGATACACAATATCAAATACAACCCAACACACGAAATAGGGGAAGGAATGATTATGGAAATATACAGAGAAAAAGAAGAAGAAGAAGAAGCTAACCTGAGGAGTATTGCATACAGAGCCATTCACAGTGACCTTCCCATCAAAAATAAGTTGCTCGCTGCTCCTCCTTGACGCCACTAAAACCAAAGGAAAACCATTAACACCGAAAAACAGTGAAATGGGAGAAATGGTTTCAATTTTGAATTTGAAAAATGCCATTCTTCAATCAATGGCCCAAATTACATTCATACATAGAGAGGATGAGTTGATATAATTACCTCCGGCAGCAGCGAGAACCTTGCTGAGCCGCTGCGAAGCGTCTCTGAAATTTTCGTTGTAGAACCTACGAGCGGCTTTTGAATACTTGGGCTCAGCTGTGGGCACGCGCTTCTCAGCGCCCTCCTTCTTCTTCTTCGTCTTGCTCTTGGTCTCAATGGCCTGGAGGAAACGCGCAGGAGGGTGCGACTGGAGCTTGAGGTTGCCATCCTCGCCGCGGACGATCCACGGGATGATGAGCTGGCCGGCGAGAGCCTCCGGGTCGGGCTCTGCGGAGTCGGGTTTGAGTTTGGGCTTGGGCTTAGGTGGCGCGAAGGTGATGTTGAACTCTAGAGAGGAAGAAGAAGAAGAAGTAGAGAGGGAACAGGTGATGCGAGGGAGTGTACGGATGGGTATGAGAGAGAGTGAGGGTTTGGAGAAGAGTGAAGAAGAGAGTGAAGAAGAGAGCGAAGCTAGTGCAGCAGCTGCCACTGAAGCCATTTTTGATTGCCGGGTCTTTTCGTTTTTGGTTGAGGTTTTTGCAGTGGATATATATTATTTTATTTTATTTTAAATTGGATGGGCTTTTTTGTTTAATTATTGGGCTTTTTTTTGGACCTTATGGTTTACGATCCAAGAGGTAGATATATTTTAATTTTTTTAATAAAAAAAATATTTATTTATATCTCAAAACGCTCAGAAAAATTACTTCGAAACATTTGAGTATTAGACCCAGCGTTAACCTGTGAGTCGGATAAAAGGTTATGTTAAAACTCGTGAAGAAGGAAAAAACATGCGAAAGTTGGTCCTTGTCAAAAGCTTTGGCCACTTTGTTATAACTTATGTATGCTTCTGGCTAAAAATAATATGCAAGCAAACTGAAGGTGATAAAAATTTATTATTAATGATCATGTTTTTTCCCAAGATTACAATTTTAATTTGGAAACCCAAAAATACACCAATTAGGATCAATTGAAAAAATTTACCAGCAACTCTGGACGAATGGGCTGAAAATCTTGTAACAAATTATTTTGGCAGATGTTTGTGTAAGACAATCCCAAGAGAGCAACAGTTAATTTTCATAAACGTGTATTCTATCACCATATGCTGTGTATGGCAGGCATACTCCTTTGCACCACAATAAGGCTGGAAAACTTGCCGCCAGTTAATGTATCCGCGAAAAATGAATGTGCAAACCTGAAGCACGACAAGCGGCCGATATTCGTTAACTACTGATTAATTCCATAAACTAATTTGTTGATCAGGATTAGAGAGACATCAAGTGATAAACAGGAGATCAATGAACTTACTAAACATGTTTCCCATCATGGAACTGAGCATTTCTTGAAGATTTGAAGGTTTCCAAAAATTCTTTGGCCTTCTTTAACTCGTACGTCTGCCTCAAATCATCCCAGTTGTGTTCAGAAGCTAATATTTCAATTACACGAGGCAATGCCCTGCTTGCTGCATCGGTATCGAGGAAAGCAAGCCGAGATCTCCGAGCAATGAAATCAATGGCAGATTCACAGTACTCATTTCGAGCACAGTAAGCAACCTCAGCCTCTAGAATAGGGTATCCATGGGCAAGCCTCTTCCCCAGATTTTCATTCTAAAATGTGAAAAGAAGTTAAAAGTAAGCATTAACCTCAAAAGCAAGTGAGTGATCCAAAGAAAAATCACTAAAGTCACAATCTTACATGCTGAATTACAATTCCAAATTTCCCAGGGATTACAAGTTTATGCACTAACATAATCCAGAGTGGTAAAAATTATGGAGCAAACATCAGTGTACCATTCTCCAACAAACTTACTTCTAAAGATGTTTAATAATCAGTGACTAACTTTATATTTGAAAAATTCAATTAAAAAGAAACCTAATCCCTTTCAAACGCTCATGATACATATGGGCCCCCCCATTCCCCATCAACACATGGTGTTCTTGGACTCATCATTACTCTAGATGGTGAATATGTTATTGATTGTGAACCAATATTGGGGTATTTTCACCGAGGGATAGAAAAATTGCGCAAAACCAAATAATTATACAATATTTGCCCAAACGCTCTTCTACATATGAAAATAGACACCAGCAACAACAATAGCATATTATGATAGGTCATAACTACAAAGTGAAATTGGAGCGAGAAAAACCAACCTGAGCAATGGCAGCAACTCGTTCAGCCCAAGTACCATATGCATGGGACAGATGCTTTGCTGCAGCAGTGTCCATCACTCCAGGAACAACTTTACCATGACTTTTCTTCATGCGTGTATATTGTTGAGCAATAACTGTAAAAGATGCAGGGTCCCATCCATCTCCACCGACAATCTGCAGCTTCGAGGTCAAACATCCATTTTGTGGGGTGAGCTTTCCAGACTTTATTGCTGCATTAACCGCATCTTCTGCCATGCTGAAAAATTTCTAGTCAGCAAAATACTTGTGTGGAGTCAGACAGACAGAGAGGAAGGCGGGCATACAAAGGGAGTGACAAAGATGTTAAGGGTAAAGGTCTTAGTTTATAATGTCAATATACCTAAACATTTAAGCCTAATATTAAGTACGCCATCTGCAAAACAATCTAGAAGGGACATTCGAAAAGAAGCCTATCCAACTACATAAGTATACTGTTGCCTAATTTCAAATTGAAAACCCCTGTGGATGTGTAGCTTCAGTTGCCCTCTAACTATAAAGTAAATCATCTCAGCACAACTAAATAAACATTACCCACGGTAAGTGGTCCACTTGCCACCTGTGATTGTTACCAAACCAGGATAATCTTCACATACAACATGATCTCTGGAGATGCTCTCGGTGTTTTTTGCAGATGGATCTGTTGCCAATGGGCGAATACCACTCCATGCAGAGAGAACGTCTGTGCGTCGTACCTATATTTTTCCAGAATACTTTAGTCTCAACAAGAAAACTAAACCAAAAAAGAAAGAGAAAGACATCAAGACTGAGCTACAGCTCTAAATGCTTAGATATAAAGTATCAACTAGACAAAGAATTCCTTAAGGGAAAAGTGTTATATTGAGGAGTCAATCAATAGCCTGTTATTCGTTTCAGGATCTCTTAAGCTGTCAAGGAAAATAATGCTTCATAACCTGAGATAGTAAATTCAACAACAGATGACAGATGCATGTTTCCTTACACTGCCTCCCATAACAAACATATAAGAAACATGAATCGTGCATTACTTGCTGTAAGTGCTTGTGTCAGCCAATCATACAAAGGGCAAAAATGACAGCATGTGACAAGCCCTGAATGCTGATACACGTGCACTACTTTTCCAATCTGAATAGGGATGATTCAAAGAATTGGCTTGATCATACTGTGAAATTTACTCACAAAATACTGACTAGCTGACCAAATAGACAGAAAAGCAATCATTGAGAAGACAGATATTTAATTTTGTCTAACATCTATTTGACGTGTGATAAACATGGTGCTGGGTGATTGAAAAGTGGATAAGCAATGCAGGCAAAGATGCCACCCACACAAACACGGAGAATCACAGACCTTGACATTCAGGTAATCACAAATGGCATCCAGTATGAATTGAATCTCATCCTCGTGTGGTTCAGGAAGCAGAGTAATAGGGGTGTTGGAATCAGTGGTGCCAGCAATTGTTCGTCCCAACCACGGTAGCATAAAAACAACACGTCCATCCTTAGTTTTAGGAACAATCAAACCCATACCTTCAGGAGAATAATAATCAGGAAGTACGATATGTACACCACTGCTTGGACATATCATAGGCTTTACATCTTTGTCTGCCAGCTTCCTTACAGAATCACAAAATGGCCCAGCAGCATTCACAACAACTTTTGCATATGTGTCAAACTCTTTTCCTGGGAACTTAAGAAAATACAGTAAGAATCACAACGCTCAAAAGGAAATCTTCAAATCATCATTCACATAATCACACCAACATAATATATGTCACTAGAAGAAGAAGAAGTGTGTTCTAATTCTACCTGATAAATTGTCTCGGATTCTTGCACCAATTGTCCGATTGCTAGCCTCATCCTTCAAAAACGAAACCACTTCTGCATGGTTAAGCACTGCTGCACCAGCTACTGCAGCAGAGCACGCCAATCCAACATTTAGACGTGCGTCATTCATCTGCCCATCATAATACACCACGGTGCCCTTCAAGCTTTTATTGTTACCCTTCCTCGCAAGAGTGGGGAAGAGCTCAACAGATTCTTGTGCCGAATAATATCTAGACACATGTAACAGGCGTAGTCCTGCGACCAAATCGTACATTTTCAAGCCCATCCAGTAGTATACTACCTCAAACCAGTCAAAACATGGTGTCATGCATGGCAAAGCATGGCAGAGGTGTGGTGCATTCTCAATAACCTGTTTACGCTCCTCAAGCGCATGGAATACCAGCTTCAGCTGCCCGTAGTCAAGATTAAAAACAGCTTTCTCCAAGTACCGAACACCTAACAGAATAATTTTGCATAAGCCACCAAAATAGAAGTCAATTAAAAATAAGCAATTAGCCGTAAAATGTTATCAAATTAAAGTAGCTTAAAGAAGGCTAATAATTATTAACTCCAAATGAAAAAGTTGAATATCATATCAGCCACCATATCTTACAGCCCACTTTAATTAGTATTTATCATAGCAACAGATAAATATAGATTTAGTATGACAACAAAAAAGAGGTACAAAAATGGATCGCCTTAGGCCAATCATAATCGTACAGTCTAAATTGAAAACTACAACAAATCTCCACTTAAAATTAAAATCAAAATCGACAACCATATGCAGTAGCAATATACAGAGCTAACAAAATTGCAACGGTCTCATTGACGCACACAAATGCATTAACAAGACGACGAAACCAAGAAACGTCAACAGCAACCGGAAATGACAAAATTGAAACTTGACAAACCGCGTAATGTAACGTGTACGCATACAACTACAAGTCTACAAGTACATGTATCATAATTGTATATACGCATACCTCCGTGAATTAGCTTCGTGGACCGCGACGACGTGCCAGATGAGAAGTCCTCGCGCTCGACGAGACCAACGCGGAGGCCTCGGGTGACAGCGTCAAAAGCGACTCCACTGCCGGTGGCGCCACCGCCGACCACGAGAATGTCGAGCGGGTTCTCGGCGGTGGCAGCGATCAGAGCAGACTCCTGGACCGCCCTGGGCGGAACGACGGCGTTGCGGTCGCTGATCCTCTGGCGAACAGCTGCGATGGAGGCAGGCCCACTGCCGCGGTCGCTGGCGGAGTACGACGGTTGGATGCCATTAGAGATGTGTTTTCCATTTGTTGAAGAAAATAGTGATTTTCTTTTGGGGGAAAGGGGAGCTGGGGAGGGGGTTGGCTACTATTGGCTATCCAATAGAGAAACCATGTTTGTGAAAACATTTGGGATCGGACCTTGTAAATCATTTCCATCTAATTCAATATATACAAGGTTGTTGCTATTGGCACTGAAGAATTTAAAGGACTATGAAAAGCGCGAAGGAGAAAGAGAGAGAGAGAGAGAGAGAGAGAGAGAGGCAGCGTTGGGAATCGGTCGCGGGGGATTTGGATTTTTGGATGAGTTGGTTTTAGAGTGAGATGCTGTAGTGTCGTAAACTCTCGTGCTTGTTGGTTGAAAATGTGACGCCCTTGTCTTTTTCTTAATTTATCATCTATTACCCGCATTTTAATGAATTTTTTATTTACCTTTTCAACTCTTTTTTTCCGAAAGGACTATTTCAACTTTAAAGAAATACAATTCTAGCAGGAAAAAAAAAACTTCAAATTAAAATATTTGAAGTAATTATTGACGTCATCGGCTATAAAGCCTCCATCACCACGTGAGCGCCAATTCCCAAGGTTGATGATGGCATGGGACACTACTTATTAATTGTTGGCGGTTACGTGAGAAAATGTTAAAATTCATAGGAGTATTTTAAAATTTATATATTAATCAATTTTTTAAATATAAACGATATTTTTATTTTTTGGTCTGAAATATAAACGATAGTCTAAACTATAAGGAGAGTGGGTTTCACACCCACACTATTAATGTGCTATTAGGATTCCAGACCACTAGTCCTCAAGTTAAAACCCTTTTTCACTAGGCTAGACACTGTTGATATATTAATCAAATTTGTAGTTACATATAAAATGATTATTTACCATTTTTGCCCCATTTTATAAATGGACATGAAATGACTAATTAGGAGGTTTGTAATAAAAGGAAAACTAATAAGAAATTTGGTGGTCAGATTTTTTTCTGTCTCTTGAATATATCTTCGGTGTGCTTGTCTGGGAAAACTTTAATCTTCAAAAGCCTTGGTAAATTGAACCATTTGAATTAACAATAAATAAATATTTATCTGTTCAACATACATTTTAAATTGTTTATTTTTGGGCTTGATATTTCTCAGGTAATTATAAAATAAAATAGAAAATAAGAAACTAACGATGGCCCTAAAGCCCAATCCAATTGAATCACCCTTCCCCTTTACGACCCAGCCAAATATTAAAAACTAAATTCAGTTGCGAGGTGGCCCAAATTAAAAAAAGCCCATCAATTGTTACTTTCCGACGATGGGCCCGCGATAAAGCAACGCAACGGAAGGCGTCTTCGTCTTCATCTCAGAGCAGGCGAGAAAGAGTGCTCTGCAACTGAGAAATAGAGGCTCAACTTCCATGGCTCAGATTCCCAACTTAGACAATGCTCCTCTCAATCTCAATTCTCTCAGGTACGAACTGACCACAAACTTACAGACTATATTTTCCAATTTATGTTATATTTTCTTATAATGTATATATTTTTTGTGTGTGAATATGACCGTACAACAGGGAACAGTCTCAGAAGGAACTCGTAAACATACTCAAGAATGTGAGTTCGAGCTCGTTCTTTCAATCCAGTTTCCGTTAAAATTCAAATTCAGGTCTTTGAATTTGATCTTATGATTGTTATGGAATTTGCAGATTCGAGGAAAGAAGTGTTTGGTCATCGATCCGAAGCTCAGCGGCTCTCTCTCATCGATCATCCAGACTGCAATTCTCAAAGTACTTCTATTAGGCTCTTTGTTTCCATAGAAATTTAGTTTTTTGCTCCTTGTGCTGGATAGTGAAACGATGTAGTGCTCTTATGTAATTGACAAGTTTGTGGTGTGATTTTTCATGTTTCTTAAGGTATAATTTGATAAAGAACTTGCATATGAAATTTGACTTTCTTCTTTGGGTAAAGGAATTATTATGTTCAGCTGAAATGAGCTGAGTATAATGAAGGAAACTCTTTTGTGAGAATTTAGATTGTAATTGTTTTTACTGACACATGCAAACAGGAGCATGGGATTGAATTGCGACATCTTTCGGTTGACCCGATTCAAACCGACTGTTCCAAGCTGGTTTACCTTGTCCGCTCAGAGCTTAGTTTGATGAGATTCATTAGTTCGCATGTTCATAATGATACGTCAAAAGGACTACAGAGAGAATACTATGTTTATTTTGTCCCTCGCCGGTCGGTTGCTTGTGAGAAGGTGAGCATGCCTTCACTATTATAAATGTACTTTCTAGGTAAAAGTTATGGTTTCCGATGGATGCAATGTGCATGCATTTGAATATTGATTGATGATAATTGTCATTTGGTTTTTTCAGATCCTTGAGGAGGAAAAAGTACATAACTTGTTGACTATAGGGGAGTACCCGCTATACTTTGTTCCTTTGGACGAGGATGTTTTGTCATTTGAACTTGATCTTGCTTACAAAGTAGGAAACTTTTTTATTTTGAATTTGTGGATTTATTTTAGTATTTCTGTCAAGTTGTTCAACATGATTTGATTTGTATTTATTAATTATTTTTTTGGTCGATGCATGGTAGGAATGCCTAGTTGATGGTGATACAAGCTCACTTTGGCATATTGCAAAAGCCATTCACAAGCTCGAGGTTACAGAAAATACATACAAAATTCTGTTCAGTTATCTTATGTTTAGTTTTCTCTGTGAGAGATATTTATGTACGTTATTTGAATCATGTAAATATGAATCCTTACAGCATGCACACACATATACACAAGTTATGTAAGAATGGTAGGGTAAAGTTGTCTTTGGAGTTAAAGATTACTATGGTTGTACCCTTAAGTAATGATTTTAGTTACTCTAGTTCTTGTTCTTTGCTTGTAGGTGAAAATTATGTCTTGTTTATTGTTTGCAGTTTTCTTTTGGGGTGATACCAAATGTGAGGGCAAAAGGCAAATCATCAGTTCGTGTTGCTGACATTCTAAACCGCATGCAAGCAGAGGAACCAGTTAACTCGCCAGATGTAATCATGCATGACTTTAAGCTCCTTCTATGATGAACTAATTTTAAAAGAAAAAACTGCATATGAGACATGCATTATATATTATGTGATTTACACCTCATATCCTCTAATTACTGGAAAAGAGTAAAAGTACGTTTCATAAGCCTTCCACTGATCTCTTGCTTGTAACTTCAGATGGTTGTGCCAGAGATAAATACTCTCATCCTTTTAGATAGGGAGGTAATTCTCTCTCTCTCTCTCTCTCTCTCTCTCTCTCTCTCACCAAAGGATTACATTTTATATGTGTCGATCGTAAATAACTTAGTATGAGACTTCAGTATGTCACACAGCATGGTTTATCTTGTACTAAGTAACTTTAAATTCATGAAGCATGCCATTTATTTATTTTATACATGATTTAAAGTTTTTATTTGGGAAAGAAATGTAAAATTGCACATACAAAATTATAAATTCTTTATGGTTGTTGCATACCAATCCCTTATTCAGAAAGTTACAAACTCACATTTTGATGCACTTGTACCATGAACATGAACTTTGGTTTTTGCTTAAAATTGACTGTTCCCTGTTCCTTGGATGTAGGTGGACATGGTAACTCCCATGTGTTCTCAATTGACATATGAAGGGCTTCTTGATGAGGTAAGTCGTCGTAAAAACTGAAGGAATAATTTATTCATGGCATGACACAACAAAAAGCTCTGTGAGAGTAGGTAACTAGGTGTAGCAAGTACAAGTGAAAATTTTGAGTTGCTCATGAGGTATTTCTCAACTGGATTGTTGCATACCAGTTCAATTGGCATAGTAAAAAAGAAAAAAGTAAATAAAAAAAAAAAAATTCCAAGAACTTTAATTATCAGGGGGTTTTTGATTTTTTTTTTCTTTAATAAATCATTATGTTGTTTCTATTCTGGTTAACTAATAACCTAGATTTATAAGGCATGAGACATTGTTTTTCTTCTGAATGGAACAATTCTTGTTTTTGGTAATCTGAATTAGTCATAAGCTGTCCCTAATAGTTTCAGTACAGTTTCTGCATATCAATAATGGTGCTGTCGAGCTTGATGCATCTGTCATGGGAGTCCAACAAGAGGGCAAGAAGATAAAAGTTCCACTTAATTCAAGGTGATTCACTTTTTGCTTCATAGCATTGTTATGTAATGCAAGGGCATCCTGTCACGCATATGCCATAGTATTGATACCTTCTCTTTTTCTATCCTTGCTTTTCATTGGGTTGGATTATTGGTTCACAAGTCGTTGGCATTTATAAATATATTATCTATACCCTTGAATATTAATACAGGACAGATCATATTACTGAAAAGGAATTAATATATCCTGGTATGATAAGTAGTTGATAGTGTTCTTGTAGTTGTTAATTTGCTTTATTTGAATTTCTGCTTTTAGTTTTTGTATTTGTTGGACTGCTTGTTCACATCTAAAGTAAGTATGATCATTTCCTATAATAAAACATTTGCCTGTTTATTAACCAAAAAATGGTATGATGGCCATTCACTACCAATACAGTATCTGTTGATTGGGCCTTGAGTTAGATAGGGAATATGATTTGAAGTCTTTTGGTACATAAATAACTCTTGTTGATCCCAAATGCACAGACCATGTTAGTCTTTTCTTTATGTAATTAAATTCCTTCAGGATTTTCTCTCACTATACGTGTCTTGTAATAATTACAGCGACAAGCTGTTTAAAGAGATACGGGATCTCAACTTCGAAGTTGTTGGCCAGGTTTATCTATATTCACCAGTTTAGATTGTTCTTTTCATTTCTTTTTCCAAACCTATCTCTTATAAGTTAAAAATGAAATCATATCCTCCCTGGGAGTTCCATTTCTTATTGCTACCTGCAGTATGATTGCAGATTCTACGTCAAAAAGCAACATCAATGAAGCAGGACTACACCGAGGTGACTACCAATGTAAGTGAATGTTATAAGAGCTGGATACTTGCCCTTCTAGACTCATGAGATGTCATTGTCGACTCGATTTTCTGTTCATGAGCCTGATGTTATTACCAGAATCCATTTGTCTAATGAAGTGCTATATGATATTGCATATAGAACCAGACAGTTTCTGAATTGAAAGACTTCGTCAAAAAGCTGAATTCATTGCCAGAAATGACGGTAAGTTTTTCTTTAATTCATTTTTGGAATTCATCAGGGGTGTTTCATTTTCTGATTTGCTGCAATGATTGCTTTAGAGGCACATAAATCTTGCTCAGCATCTGTCAACGTTCACATCAAAGCCATCGTTTCTTGGACAACTTGACATGGAACACACAATTATTGAGGCTCAAAGTTATGACATGTAAGCTGAATTTGGTACTAGTAACTGACATGTTTGGGAATTTTATGCTTCTCATTTTCTTTTTATATGTGAATATACTTAGAGACAAAAAGCCATGTAATTATGACTACTTTGCTAATACCATGTTAGGTTTCATTGTAAGAGCTAACTAACAAGTTTCTTGTCTATTTTCTCCAAAAACACCTTCTCTTCTTACAATTGGTTAAACATATGAATGTAGGTATCGCCTTGATGAGTTCAAATGTAATATCTATTTTGTAGTACTAGTACATATCCATATGAATGAAAAATGGCAATACATATTATTTTTTGTTTTAGATCATTATATGACTTTAAAGTTTCCAAACCTCTATGATGTTGGTTTGTATACCATATTGGAACCTAGAATTTATCTCTCTATTTTGTCTTTTCATATATTTCCACTTATCATATGTTTATGGATTGACAAAGTCACCTAAATTTTGTTTTGCAAGCACGAAACTGATATAGTTGATGAATGCAGATGCTTTGAGTACATCGAAGAAATGATCCATAAGCAGGAGCCTCTTGTAAATGTCCTACGGCTTCTCATCTTATTTTCTATTACAAATTCTGGGTTGCCTAAAAAGAATTTTGACTATTTGAGGCAAGTACTCCAGTCATTCTATATTTCACGTTGATCCATTTGGTTTTTATTTATATTAAATTGTTTTTGTATTCTTTGTTTAGGAGAGAACTACTCCATAGTTATGGATTTGAACACATGGTTACATTGAATAGTTTAGAGAAAGCTGGATTGGTTAAAAAACAGGTTCGTTTTTATTTTACCCTCATACAACCATCTGCTAATTTCCTTGCATGATACAGTAACTGGTGAATGGACTTTTATACAGAAAAGAACAAAGGATTCACTGTACATCATCTGAACCTTGCAGGAGTCGAAAAGCAACTGGCTGACAGTTAAACGTGCCCTGCAACTTGTTGTTGAGGATACTGACACTGCAAAGTATTGTTCGCCTTCATTGTTTACGTTCTTTTTAGTAGTGTTCTCTTTTTGCTTGGTACTAACTTTGGAGTCAATTTTCTTATGTCACAGTCCCAATGATATCGCCTATGTATTTTCTGGATATGCACCTCTTAGCATTCGCCTTGTCCAACATGCTGTTCGATCTGGATGGTAAGCCTAATTCCTTGACAGATAAATTTGTAGCAAGTTTGTTTTCTCTGTGTGCTTGTTTTTTATTTTTTTTCAGTAGATCCCATCAATTCCTTTTCACCACGAATATGTATTCTGCAAATCTCAATGCCTTTTGTTATAATCTAGCTCCTGGAAAACCACTGGAAATTATAAAGATATAATATCTATCTGTTAAGCTTCGTAATTAGGGCCCAAACAGTATAGTATATTCAAGACCCAAGCAAGTTTAATTTCAGTTGTGGAGACTAAATGTATGTTCTGAAGCCTGAAATGCACTCATGTAAAGTGGATGCTTGGTCCCCACACTTTGTTATGTTAAAGGTCTATATTAATTCAATCAACTTGGTCAAAGCTTTCTTATCAATAGACTTCAAGAGTTTCCATGGTGTGGTACTCCGGGAAGTTGGTATTACAGGATGGTTTATTGGTGTCAGAGTATGGATCACAGTTGCTCCCTTCCCCCTGTACACGATTTTACCTTCTTCCCATAGAACTATATTATACCAATCTATTTTATTAGATACAGGTTGCTTTTCTTCATGTTATATCCGGGTCTCTTAGTAGTAACTACTTTATTTTGGTACATTTCTTATTGAAAATTTTCGGTTTCAGAACTTTCTTTTCAAATAAGGCTTGCACCAAAAAATAGTCTCTTCTAGTATTGAGGTGAAAGTTTTGTAGCTTCTTATGATCCACTGAAGGCCCATTAATATTGCATTAGTTTTGGTGGAACTTCATCATTGTAAATGTGACTGCTGTGCTCTAAAACATGAATTTTTTTAACCTCCAGGCGTCCAATTGAAGAAATTCTGAAGCTGTTACCTGGACCACATTCAGAAACAAAGAGAGTGAGTACATTTCTCTTGAGTTATTTCCTATTTTTCTTCTTTTCTTTTGAAAGCTTTGCGTACTATTACTTTTATCTCTGCCTGTGTATGCTTGAAGTGCATGCTAAGCTTTATTTCTGTCGTAACAATTTACAGGGCAGATTCTCAAGCAGTCCATCATTGGACACTTTGCAGGGGCCTTCAGCCAATGTAGACAAGTATGTGCCAACTGGTTCTAGTTTATAAGATTCTGTTCTCAGTACTGCCTTTGTTGATACCCAGTGACATTCTTTCGCTGGGTTGTTCAGATACATGTCATTAACATTTGTAGATTGATGAAAAGCAATTTACAGTAAAATTTTGATTGGTTATTTGCTAATGTAGCGTATAGACTTCATTGTGACATTCCTTCATACATCTCAGGGTAGTTGATGGAAGGCGCTCCCTAGTACTTGTCGTCTTCATCGGAGGTGTAACGTTTGCGGAGATTTCTGCTCTACGATTTCTCAGTGCTCAGGTATGTTAATTGTTTTGCACGTATAAAATGTCATAGATTTCATCTATGCAACTGTTTTATTTTGCCCATGTGTCAGGGATGGATGGTTATCCAGATATTTCTATTGTTATCCCTTCTGTTGTCTGCATATTATCCTAATTCCTAATGCCCATGGTAATTTGAATATTGCAGGAAGGGATGGCATATGATTTGATAATCGGGACTACGAAAATTGCCAGTGGCCGTACCTTCACTGAAACATTTGTGGGGAAGTAAGCTGGATTGACTTGTAAAATTTTGCTTGTTTTATTTGTGGGGAAGTAAGCTGCATTGAGTAGTGTCGGCAAGAGCTAGCTAATTGATGATGTGAATTTTTTATGTCATATTATGTTGCTACAAAAACGAAAACAGCAGCAGTATGGTGTGTGCTCATTTTTATTTTATATTAAACACTGTATTCTAATTATCTTTTTTCATTACTTGAAACACCAGTAACTATATAGCCGTGTGGCGCCAAAAATTGAAAGAGAGCTCAATGTTACTAGAGTTTAGAAGTTCACATTTTTCTCTATACATTTAAAGATGATAATAATAAGAGCACAACCTTCCTCTTGCGACTAGTGGAAAACTGAAGCCTTTGTGCTTAATTATCAAGATTAACCTTTGAGTACCTTTGTTCTTCTACTAAAACCAAATCTTCATACTTCTTTAGAGAAATCATGATGTCGGTACAACTATAGACCGTGCCAAATCCATCTTTGAGTAGTACACTCTTCATGGAAATATGTGTTAGATCCACAAAGAGTGTACTTGTCCTATAGGGATCTTTATCCTCATGGTGGAAAAATATGCCGTGCTTCCATTCATCAAACTTGGAAAGCCTACACTTAGACATATGAATCTCAAGTATATATGGTCCTAATTATACTTAATATAGCCTTTTGTCGATAGTGAGTATAACTCCTCCACTTGTTATCATATAAGTGAATATTTATTAATAATATCATATAAGTGAATATTTATTAATAATGGAGAGATGAGTTAACCATACATGCTATAGAATTAGTTACAGCTGATGATGACCATGCATTATTAATAAAACAAATATGCTACACTATGAATATGTCATAGTTATGTTAATATTTCCAAGTGTATTTTGCAAAGAGAGCTTAATATATATATATATATATATATTATTTTTCAGAAAAGGGAGTGATACTTATGATTATAATCTTGCACGGCTGCGGGAAATTGTTGGGATATTTTTAACCTATTACTAGGGAGTGATTTACTTGCTAGTTTTTTTTTAACATATAGTTGAAAAAAAACTCTGTTTTAATTACGGATACATTCTTAAGGATTTCCTGCAGATTCCATCTATAACATATTAAACTTATTTGGTTCAGAAAAAGAAAAAAAAATTCCAAATCTAGCTGGGTATGGAAATCCTATGGAATATTTGAAAAGTATTGCTTTTGAAGCAACACAAACCTAAAGCCGTCTTGATAACATAAGAGGAATCCTAATGTTAGTTGATTTTCAGTGTTACTGGGCATTTCTGCAGAACTTGATCACTGAATTTTTGATATGACTGTCATCAAGGATACTGCTTGATAGTAAGACTGATTAAGTCGCTGTAGTATATACATATAAAAATAAAAAATCATGATAAAGAGATTACAAACAACTTAGCATTCTTAGCAATTGGCATCTCAAGAAATACAAGCGGTCTCCATCTGCGTTCTCAAGTAAACCACATCTCTCCCACTTGCTTCTGCAGTTTTAGTCAGATTCTCATAACTTGCTTCAGATATGGGGCTCTCAATATCTTGCTCTGCTTCAACCAAATCTCCATACTTCTTTAGAGAAATCATGTTGTCCGTACAACTATGGACTGTAGAACCTTTGAGCCGTACACTACTCACGATAACACGTGTTACATCCAAAAACAATACAAAGTTATCCTGATTGAAAAATATGCCATGCTCCCATTCTCCACATATAAAAAAAAGAGTGCGACACATCACAAGAGTACCCTTCAAATAACGAAGAGACGGATGTTGTTGCATATCTATTTTGTAATTTAGTACCCACTCTTTGTTATCATAATTTTTCAATTCCCATATCTTCATATCTTCTGATGAAGAAGCATCCACAAGGGTCAAAGAACCTCTGAAATTAAGCAGGTTAACAAAATCAAACATATCCTGCATTTTCTGTGAGGTGGCGGGATGAGGTGTCCAATAGAACTCCTCTTTCTTGAAGTCAAAGGAAAGTATATGTATAGACGATGAGTCGTGGTCATCTCCACGAACCAACCAATGCATGTCTCCATGTGCACATGCCGACTTTTGGGTTAGATGGCAAGGAGGAACTGAGGGTAACTTCCGCCATGAGCTTGTCCCCAATATAAAAACTTCGGCCGCCATTTGGGTTTTGATGTCCTTTTCATGGCAAGAAACACGAACAATCTTGTAGGTGTTGGTCATATTATCAAATCCCATGCCGTACGTATCACCATTGCATAGACTGTTGATTGGAACTTGGAGGTCACTCGTTGTTGGGAGCATTAGAACTTCTCCCTTGAAAGGATTCACCAACAAGCATGACCTTCCTTTCTTCGTATGAAGACCACTAAAGCCAAACAAGTTGTAGAAAACAAAATTAGGCTTATACCAACGCAGACTGGACACGAATTCAGAAACAATTGCATGCTTGCTCTTTGTCAAGTTAATGCCATCGTATTTCAATGGGTACATCTTATGTACATCAAAGGTAGTTTCAACAAGACGAATAAGTCGAGGTACTTGATGAACATCAGGTAAACGCCGCATGTGCAGTGTGGCAAAAGAAAGGTCGTCAACCGTCTTTAACAAAACTTTAGATACACATCTGATGCAGCAAACCGAATTTACAGACAATCTCGAAAGAATGTCGATAAGAATTTCTGTAGGTAAGACATCCATCATCTTCGACAAAGTATATAAAATATGGGAGTTTAGGGACTGGTTCCTATTTATATAGAAATATAAGTAAACTCAACGTCCTAAACCCAATGCGTGTTGGAAATCCAATTCAATTAGGCATTAAAGGCATATTTCTAATTATCCTAATTAGACTAGATTTCCTGTTGATTTCACAAACTATTCCTAGCGGAAAAAGCTTATTTTGTTGGGAAAAAAAAAACACACACACACACACACAAAGAAAAATCCAAATCTAGCTGGCTAAAAGTTTTGGTGATCAAACCAGCCGAATGAACTTACAGTGTCGGCAAGAGCTAACTAATTTATTTGCAGAATTTTCCATCTCTCACGTCATGTTCGTACACATTATGATTATTAAAAAAATTCTAATTTTATAGTTACTTGAAACACTAGTAGGTAATTGGCCGTGGTGTCAAGTTGAGAAGAAATTGCATCCACATATAAAGGAACAATACAAAAACAAAAACCAAAAATCATAATAATAAAATTACAAACTTCCCATTTGCTTAGATTTTTTAGAGTCACTTAAATTTCTCCCAGCTTTTAGTCAAATTTTCATAGCCTTCTCGAGACCTGGGGCATTGTGCTTCAACCAAATCTCCATAATTGTTTAGAGAAATCATGTTGTTGGGACATCTATAGACTGTCAGAGAATATATTGGACCTTTAAGTAGTACACGCTTCAAGGAAACACACTCTAGATCCGCAAAGAGTATACAATTCATGTGATACTTCTCCTGGTTGAAAAATGTCATGCTCCCGTTAGCCTCACTTAAAAATATGTCAGCTTCTAAAGAGGGAGATGACATTGTTGTTGCATATCTATTTTGTAATTTAGCACCCACCTCACATCTCCATATAATACACAACTAACCTTAATCTAGTGATGTTTGTCTCAACTTGACTCAAGACTCACATTGTTGTGGGTGCATTGATCCTTTGTATAAATAAATTGTAAATATCCTATCGTTTGTTGAAAAAGTACACATTTTTATTTGTGTAAAATTTTGCTTGCTTAATTCAAACCTGTTCTTGTTGTCCCAAATATTGATTTAGAGGGAGTAATTCAGTTTGTCCTTGAATTTTTTGAAGTTTGGATATATATATATATATATATATACGAGTATGCATATACAGCGGAATCCATACTAATACTTACTCTCAACTTGTTCGTTCTTTATTTTTTTTAAATACATCATTTGACTCACCCAAAATTAAAAAATTAAAAAATTGGATGGTGTTTTTTGATAGATGAATAATGTTTGAAAAGCATGAAACATGCCGGTTTACAAACCAAACACGTTTTACCCCAAAAAGGGGGAAAAAACATACCTTTGTTTTAACAAATAAAACCAAACTAAAACCATACCAGCCTTTTTCCATTGCAAGGCAGAAGACCAATTCTACTGTTCTGGAAAAGCTGTTCGAGAATCAAGATTCCTTTTTGCTTCCTTTTTCATAATTTCTATATAATGGAAACTCTTCAATAATATACAACCCTGAAGACTTGATATGCAGGCCTATTGCGAGCCAAACCCGCCCACATACTCTATTTATCCCTTTGTTTTGTACATCAACACGAATTAAGTCACCATAATATAATGTATACACGTACCGTACAAGTAACACAATGATTTATCTGCAGAACATCTGTAAACTACACTTTTTCATCCTAATAATAGTACTAGGAAATGCATTAGAACCACGACCCTAGGATTTTTAAAGATCAATAGAATCTTCGACTCGTTGAAGTTGCTCTAAAACGTTTCCAGCTTTTCTCTTGGCCCTGTCAGTGCCATTTTCTGACAGTTCCTTCAAGGCCTCTTCTGCACCAAGTTCCCTTGCTAGTTTCAACTGCTGTATATCACCTGTGCACAATGACCATAATACAGCAGCAGCATTCTCCCGGTTGCGTGGGAAACCAGTTCTTATAACTTCCACCAAAACAGAGATTGGCTCAGCCTGAGCAATTGCCATCTTCCCTTCTTGATGGCTAGCCAGAATTGCCAGGATTGCTAGCGCTTCATCCACCATCCCACTTCCTGCATCCTTCAGCAATCTCATTAATGGGGCCACAATACCCGCCCTTATAGCTCTGGCCTTGTTTCCCTGATAGATTGAGAGATTAAAAATAGCTGTAGCAGCATCCTTTTTTCCTCTTGGAGTCCCCTCACAAAGCAGTTTTATAAGGGATGGGATAGCCCCAGCAGCTCCAATTGCCACCTTGTTTTCATCTACTACAGACAAACTGAAAAGGGTTGCAGCTGCATTTTCTCTAGCCTCCATGCTGCCCTTTTTCAGAACATCTACTATATCAGGTATCGCTCCTGCATTTACAATTGCTCCCTTGTTACTCTCATTTATTGAAAGGTTGAGAAGTGCTGTAACAGCATGCTCTTGTGTCCGAGGATCCGAGGAGGATAAAAGCTCAACAAGGAGTGGAATGGCCCCTGCCTCAGCAATACACACTCTATTATCTGCATTCCTCTTTGCCAGCAAGCGGAGCTCACCAGCAGCTGCTCTTTGTTCTTCTGAATTCCCTTTTGCTAGTTTTTCTAATAAGGAAGCAATAGAAGCACGATCACAGTCTGAAACACTGCATCCTGCTTTTTTGTTTTTACCATTCCCTTGCTTTTTGGGCAGCTCAACGCCGTTGCTCTCACACCACAAAGCAATTAGACTCTTCAAAACGTAGTTAGGTGTTATGGCTGTGTGCAACAATGTCTGCTGTGTTTTGGGACAGGTTTTGTGTCCCGCATCCAACCATTTCTGAATACAGGATCTTTCGTATGTCTGCAAAGATCAATAAGAGCATCAACTACTATGAACACAATGGACAAAGATGTACTTTGTGAAAGATCTTCTGGGTTGTACCTGGCCAGTAGAGACAATCACAGGATCTTTCATCAGTTCTAGTGATATTGGACATCGGAAATCATCTGGGATAACAGGAGATCTGTGCTTGATCATACTCTTGTCACGTTCAGAGTTGTCAACTTCTGGGTTTTCTGTCAGCACTAAGTCCTTTAGCTTCTTAAGCAGAGCTTGCATCTTTTCAAAGTGGTCCCCTACAGCTCCGTCACTTGCGATAACCAATTCATGGAAAGCAAGTGACTCTTTCTTTAGATCGTTGATGGTTCTCAGGTGCAGCATTTCTGAAAGTCTTTTTATTATTACAGGGTCAGGCTCACTGTCTCCCACCGCTATGGATAAGTCCATCTCTAGTTGTGAATCAAGGGTGTCTTTTCTTTCTTTTGCTCTTTTAAATTGAGTATGCACTAGTTCAATCTGAAAGAAATTTCAAAAGGGTAATACCTCTTGTTAAATACTTTGAAAATTCGTAATCCACTATTTGGCTCTACTTATTTCGTTTTACGATTTGTTCATAAAGAGAAAGCTTTCTCTCACATTGCAGAAAAGCAGAGCATAAAAAATAGAAAAGCAAAGAGATAAAAGATCAGTGGTGAGTCATTTCTGATAATAACCTTCTTTAAATGAAAACATAGATTGTAAAAGTACCTGTTCACAAACCTCCTCTGACATATCAAATTTATCATAAGGAATTTTACTCAATGCTGCTTCAATTTTTACCGTCATTTGGTGAAACTTATCAATAATCTTGTCCCTTTGCAAAGCCTGTTACATAAAGAAAACACTGTCTACCTTTAAATAAACCAAAATGTTTGCAAGGCAAGAAGAAGGCCAAGGCACGGAGTCATACAACAAATGCGACCAGTATACATCTTGGTAAAGAAAACATTTTAGTGACGTTCATATTCGTTTCATATCAACAATAGCACTATTCAAGAAAATAACATGTCATATCTAGTGCTACTAGATCACAGTTCAAGTATGCAAGTAACTGATAAAATCAAGCTTGGAGGATGTCAAAGACAGATAAGAGAAGACCACATAAAATCCAGCTTTCTAAGTTGATATTACTTTCTACATTTTCAATAAGAATTAGAAGAAATGAAAGCGCGAACACACAAGCATTGGAGTCTTGTACAATACTACAAATATTGTACTATTGTTTACGGAAAACAAAAAGTACAATAATTTATCATTACATTCAGTATTCACTCACGATATGTAGTACATTACTTGATCATTATAAACAGAGAAGAGTAAGAGACCCCAATAGTTCAGAAAGTAAACTATTGTTTACATTTTCATTTCTTTTCTGAATATAGACAGAAAATAAACCCTGAGAAAGAAAAAAGAGACAGAAATCACAACTCAAAAAACCAAGCATTTTCATTTTAGCATTCTGCTCTTTCCTCTAATGAAAAATCATTTTAGCATTCTGCTCCTTCCTTTAATGAAAAATCATGCTTGAAGACTGATAACCAAAAAACAAGACATAAATTGCGCAATACATTAGGAGTGACAACTTTCGTAATCCTTATCAAACTAAGACTATATAGTACATATTCCAACAGTAACATGGTTTCCTCATTTACACTCCTCTTAGGCTAAATAATGTGTTTCCAGAAATTAGGAACTTCGAAGTTCCTTAGAATTGCAAGCTAGATCAAATGCTTCAAAAAACAAACTTTATATTGTTTTCCTTCCCTTTCCTTCATTTTCTTGGCAACCAAACAGAAAACAGAAAACACAAACCAAACGGAACAGTACCTGATAAAGCTTGCTCCCTTGGTTGACCGACTTGATAAGCTCCTTAGCCGAATTCAAAGCCTCTCCCAGCGATTCTAAAGCTATAACCTCTTCTACACCAAGCGCTTTATCACTGTCCCTCAACTCCTCAAACAGAGGACTCAAAAGCTTGACTCTTCGTACGAAGTTTCCGTATATCTTCCTGAACGCGTTCCGGCACTCAGGCAACTCGGAAATCGTCTTCACCGACTCGGAGAGTCGACTCAGTACTGAGATTCTCGGATCTTCTCCTGTTGGACCCATGTGCGATTGAGAGGCAAATTGGACTAGCACAACTTGGAAGTGGAAGTCTTGAGGGAGATGAAGACTACCCAGATAGAGAAATTCAAGGATTGGGATTGGGATGGCGACGTCAAGGAAGAAAGGGGCAAAATTGGAACGTGAAAATAAACGCCATGGATGGTGCTGCTGCTGGAAGAAGAAGCTTTTATTCTCCCTATATATATGGTAATGAGAAACGTTGGAGTTTGGTGTGTCTGGGTCCGACTCTGAATGGAAAGAGAGAATTGTCTTAGCATTTAAACACACAAATACATAAAAATAAAATGTTAATAATTATTTATTTATTTTATTAATTAAAAGTAATGAGATTGAATTATATTATGGCTTTCAGTGTAGGTTAAGAAGTCATTGCTTAATGTCCTGGTTTAGAGTTGACTGTTGAGGGACCTCAAGGAGGTCAGATGAGATCACTTGTGACCAAATTTATAGTTGCCTTGTGACAGAATTGCCCTTTAGACCAATTAGGGATTTTCCCATTGTAAAACAACTAATCAAACTTGATATTACGTTTTAAGATGAATTAGTGGTTGAACATTGAGAAAAATAACTTTTAGTGGGAAGCTAATCCTTGCATTAATCCACTGAATCCTTAATTAGCACCAAATAAAAATAAAACAAAATAGTCAAGATAGGTAATAGAAAAGGGGTATTTTTGACCTTTTAACGCAAACCAACTCTGTCGACCAACCAAGTTCTCCCTCCTCGAGTGTTTCTCTTAATTCCCGCGCTTAATTACCAATAGAACGGCCAAGATTTATCTATAAATTAACCAGACGGCTTGGCTGCACTCGGCTTCAACACAAGCCAAAATCTCAAATTGCTCTACCGCTTTCATTTCTTATAAACTAATTGTCCTACCTACCACTATGGTTATTCTTTGATTAATCTATTTTTTTTAATACAAAGTTCAATTTAAAGTTTACCAAGTTCTTGAAAACGTTGCATTATTGGGTTAAATAATGTAATTCATGGTGTATAGATCAAGTTAATTTCTTATTTATGAACAGAAGATGAGTTTAAAATAATACGCAATTGTTTTAGAAATTGAATACATGTGATCAGTTCTAATGTTGTGAGTTTTGCACGTTCATTATAATTTTGATATATCATTATTTAAAGTAAACTATAAACATGTTAATAATATATTTTAAAAGAATGATAGAGAATCTATCTTCACACATAATCACAAATTAATTCTCAATTTCGCTCTATTTCAAAAACAAAAACAAAAGGGAAGAGTGAACACAACTAAATTTGGCCTTCAATTGATAATAACAACCTAGACTTTTGCTAACATGAAAATACTTGTAATTAAGTCACTGCCAAAATGAATTAATACAGTTTTAGAAAAACCAAGTCAACTATTTATTGTGATTTTAATGGAGAATGCATGACTTAAAACAACCGGCTAGCTAAGCTAAGCCAGCAAAGACAAAGAAGCCACCAGGGGCTCAGTCAACTACGCGTGGCAGAGAACAGGTTCTCGCCGGCGCCTAATAACAAAACGCAACGTGTCGCGATCTCACTGACGTGGAACAGCCAGCCAATCAGCAGCCATGAAGTTAGTTAAGTAGGCGCCACGGCACTCGTTTTCTATATTCCTTCTTTTTTTAAATAAAGAAAAGGGAAAAACTACACAGTTTATTTTATTATTTCATGTGTTTTTGTTGATGGAAAATGGACGGTGGCCGGTGGCCGGTGGAGCTTCGCATCACTTCGATATCCGCGGGTCCCTCTCATGCTTCCAATTCGATCTGGACCGTCCAACTGCCTTTTCCAATTTGCTTTCCCTTTTGAGGTTGAAATGATATATTTCTTTCCTTTCTTCTATGTAATAGAGTAACTGAACCAACTAACTATTCATCCTACCCTTGTTACCAATTGAATTGGACAAAATTAAAATATGCTTGAATACGAAAAATCACTAATGAACTGGAAAAATAAAAACGATGAAAAGATGCATTCAAATGTTTTTTTTTTTTTTTGGCATTCAAATGCTTGAATTCAAAATTCTGAAAATTTTGGTATCTTTTACCTTTTTTTCAATTTTTTTGTTATTTAAATTATCTGCTGACGTTACAATAATGTCAATCTTAGATCAGCTTGCCTAGGCAAGTCTTGCCTTTGGGCTTGCCCAGGTTGGTGGAGCCCATCTCTTGCCCTTGAAAGAATGGGCCGTTGGAAACACGAATGGGGACCTAGATGGACCTCTTGTCCGGGCTGGGACCTCCCACTAGAAGTGCTCTAACATGAAGCTATAAATTTGACGACAGGTTTAGTTATGGAATTGGTCGACTAGTTAAGATGACATTCAGGAATAATAATAATCGAAGATGACATTCAAAATTTTGTAACTAGAAAAAAAATTCCCAAATACAAACTAACAATTAACCCTAGGAAGAAAAATCGTTTTTGACGGTAAACAATTCGCAAATCTCCTCAAGTGTCTTCACTTTAATCAAATCGGCAACCCTTTGAAACATTTGATCTTGCAAGTCCTTGATGCAGAGAAAGCTTGCAGTGCATAAGAGATCAATGACGACGTCAGCTTGGTCGAGCTCTTCCTCCCACTCTTTGATGAGTTCTTTAGTGTTTCTTCTAGGGCCCTGATCAGAAGCAGCATGGTACTTGCACCACTCTATCACCATGGCTAGGGTTTTGGACCTCACGTCGGGCATTGGTATCACATGGTTGACACCGATGACGTCGATGAGGTTTTTGATGGGCTCGGACAGTGCTACAATTGCTTCTTCTACTTCAAATATTTCATTGTTTGCGCTCCTCAACCTCACAACCCTACTCTTTGATGCCGACGACGACGACATGGTGTTCATCAACTTTTGAAGCAAGTGAGTATAGTTAGGTTATGGAAAGTTCTAAGAGAAAGAGACGTGACTAAGAAGTACTATATTTTGAAAATAACAAGGTTCCTAATTCGACAAGGATTGTGTTTCTTGAAAACCAAAACTTTTGAAATTCCATAGGATTTGAAATATTAATGCGTAATTGTCTTCTAATGTTTTTTTGGAAATTCTTAGTCTTAAAATGCATAGACCACAAACTCACCAAAACTATATATCTATATATCTATATATAAGAGTGTACCGCAAGCCAAAGAAAAAGTTGGGGAACGATAAACCCTAGTGTAATTAGGATAACTAGAAATATGTATTTAGTTCCTAATTGAATTGTATATTTTCCAACATGCAACATGCAACATATTTTTTTTTTAACAGTATATAGGCACGGCCTTATTTAGATTTTCTTTTTAGTAATTAAATAATATCTTAGCCATATTTAATTACTTTCATTTGTAATTATGTTTTAATTATTATTTTTTTAGTAAATAATTAAATATTTTAATTAACTTCATAAATTATATTACTTAATAAATGGTAATTATTTTAAAATATATATATTTAATCAAATATTTAAATACTAGTTATTCACTAAGTAAATAATAGTTAAAACATAACTAGTAAATAAAGTAATTAGAAAAGAGAAATCATGATTATACTATTTCAATGGTATAGCCGAGCGGCTATACTGTTAAAATATTCTATTTATAAGTCTAGCCGAGCGGCTATACTGTTAAAATATTCTATTTCAGCAGTATTGCCGAACGGCTATACCTCTAAAGTATGCTATTTACAAATTACAGCCGTGCGGCTATACTCTTGAAGAGTTCTTTTTGAAATTTTCTTTTTATTAATTAAATCAATCTTAGCCTTAGTTAAGTACTTTCATTAGTAATTATCTTTTAATTATTATTTCTTTAGTGAATAAGTAGTATTAAATATTTTAATAAAAATAATAGAAATTTGGTTTTGGCACCCAAATATTTTAGTATTCCAAAAAATAGATTTTAGCCTTGAAATTTAAATAAAGTATTTACTCCTTAGTAGGCTTATGGTTAGGTTTCGAGGCTTGAGAAAGGTTTTGGAACAAGTTCGGAAGCTAGGATTTTCATTCGAGACTTGGATTTACCCAAACTAAATAATAGCTTAGCCTTATTTCTTTCATTGGTGATTATGTTTTCATTATTATTTCTTTAGTGAATAATTAGTATTAAATATTTTAATAAAATCCTAGAAATTTAGTTTTAGTACCCAAACATTTTAGTATTCCAAAAATGGATTTTAGCCTCGAAACTTAAATCCAAGTCACAAGGTGATTCAATAATATCAACTGCTTGTTGGAGTTTGATTGAAATACATGAACTTGAGTCTCACATTGGAAAAGAAGAGAGAAAGTATCTACTCCTTAGAAGGCTTATGGTTAGGGTTTGATGCCTGAGAAAGGTTTTGTTAACTTCATAAATATTATTTCTTTAGTGAATTACGCTACAGTGGGTTCGCATCCATTTAGAGCATCTCCACCCACAAGGGCTAAGTCTAAGGCAAGGGCAAGCAAGGGCTGCCACTATTCACGTGAATAGTGTCAACCTTTGCATTTGTGGTTCCACCCATGAGGGCAAAGTCTAGGGCAAGTCTAAGGCAATTACTATTCATTGTACTTTATTTCCTATTTGTTTATACTTTAAACTATTAATTTTGATAAGCTTTTTAGATTATATTTTCGGTTGTCACGTGTCACTATTTATTATAAAATTTTCATTTAAAATTTAAGATAACATTTTTCGAATAAAATTTTCAAATAAAATTTTTGGATAAAATTTTTCGAATAACATTTTTGGTTTTGCCTTGACTAATCTATTAAAAAAAAAGAAATTGGAAATGCAAGAAATATATATATATATAAAAACATTAAATTGAATAAAACGGATTTTTTTTTTTTTTTTTACTTCATTGCCAA